GGGGAGAGGAGGGGAGGGGAGGGGAGAGGAAGGGAGGGGAGGAGATCCCTTAAGAACAGGGTCAATTAATGTTTTGTCTGACAGAGGTAAAGTAAGGGGGTGGGGAGAAGGCCCAGTTAGTGCAATGCTTGCTACACAGCTGTGAGGACCTGGGTTCTATTCCCAACATCTATGCACAGCTGTGCACAGCTGTGACCCCATGCTGAAGAGGAGGGGCTGACAGCCAGCCAGTCTAGTAGAATTAGTGAGATCCAGGCACACTGAAAGACCCTGCCTCAAAAAATAATAAGGTGGCTGGGGCTGGAGAGACGGCTCAGCGGTTAAGAGCACTGACTGCTCTTCCAGAAGACCCGGGTTCAATTTCCAGCACCACATGGCAGCTCACAACTGTCTGTAACTCCAGTCCCAGGGAATCTGACACCTTCACACAGACATACATGCAGGCAAAACACCAATGCACATAAAATAAATAATTAAAAAAAAAATAAGGTGGGCTGTTATGAGAACCCACGAATCTGTTAAGGGATCTCAAGAATTTATTAAGACATAAAATGGGGATAAAGCGCTCACTGGTACTGAATAAGGAAGCTGCCACTGCTGATCCTCTGGTCTAGCTACTGCTGTCCTGTCCTGTCCCTGGCGGGGATGGGGGACCAACTGCAAGCTGCTCCATGCCGCTTGACCTGGTCCTGGCAACCCAAGAGAGAGCATGACTCCTCTCTGCATTCGCTTAAGGGGTCACGTACACAGAAAAAGCCACGCCCTAGGGCTTGTACCCCAAAGCTATTGGCTGAAAAGAAGGAATTCCCACAACAGTGGGTTGGCTGTGATGGCTTCATGCCTTTAATCCCAGCACTCAGGAAGCACAGGCAGGCAGATCTCTGTGAGTGTGAGGACAGCCTTGTCTACATAAGACTGTATGGTGAGACCCTGTCTCAAAATAATGAGGCAGAGAGAGATGGAATACACTGATACTGACCTCTTCTGGAAGTATTGCTGCAGTAGGAGGAAGTTTGATGAGAAAAAGACCCGGCATAGAATATAGGTCAGTTGGCACAAAGTTCAGGCTGCAGCCCCACATAAACCAAGTGTGATAAGTGCACACCTATAATTCCAAAAAGCTTCTAGACTGAAGAGGAAGAAAGAGACCTGACCACTGAATGAGATCACGTGTGATCACATGATCCTGGGCCCCTAGACCAGAAGGCCGTTAGTGGGTTGTGGTAAAGTCTGACTAAGACTTGCAGATAACATCGATAACATCATCAGTGCCATTGACTTCCTGTTAGCAATATGTAGAGAAGGCCCTTTCTAGAAAAAGTGCACTGAGTACACCATATCGGTAACTCACTCTCAACTGGTTCAGAGACAAAATCATAAGCCAGGCTAGCTCTCCCTGCCTCCATGTCCCGTAGGCACAATGCTCTGATTACAGATGTGTGCTACTGGGTCTGGACTTTATGTGGGCTCTGGAAATCAGAACTCCTGTCTCCAGGCTTGCATGCAAACATTCTTACCCACTGAGTCATTTTGACAGGCCTGCAGCTCATCTTTAAAGTAGGTGTCAGAATGATATTCAAGCATAGCGTTGAGATACGGAAGGTTTATCTGGCATCTAAAGGTTTGAAGGAATCTAGGTGGAAAGACTGTCCAAAGCCAGGCACAATACTTGTTTATAATACATTTTTTATCCTCTGTGACCACTCTGTCATCTGGGAATTGCTCTCTGGTGTTTTCTTTCTTACAGGGGTCTCAGCAGACATTCCAGGGCGCTGCTTTCTCTGCAAAGGGAATAATGTACTCCAAGAGGGCTGAGAAATAATTGCCACTCAGAGGGCCTTAGAGGCTGGTCATCGCTGCTTGGCAGGCTTTTTCCTGGAAATGAGGAAAGTCTGTTCAGAAGGACACATTAGATGCCTACAGTGTACAGTGTTGATGTTATTAGAATCTGGCCACACTTCGAAGTCTTTAATGGCCTCGCGAGTTTCCCGTGGCTTCTCTAGCCAATGACCCCAGTGGACATTCATTCCCTTGCAGTTCTGGAAGCCAAATCTTTACCCGAGTGGAAGTGAGGGTGGCAGAAGCTTGTTCTCTGTAGACTCCAGCCCAGGATTCGTCTCCTCCTTCAGCTCTTGAGATGCACAGCTCTTCCAGGGCTCCAGCCTCGCTACCTCACATCCTCTTCTTTTTTTCCTTTCCCCTCACACTGAGTTTAGTTAGGACTACTCCCAGGAGCATGGGCAACTTGCCAGGGGCCAAAACACTGAGGAAAATGTCTCTTTTCCAGAAAGAAATTTTAAAATCTGATGGTTCATTTTCAAAAATGCCTCGAACCAGCTTAGGTCCTGCTACAGATGAACAGAAAACACAAGACCCCTGCTAATACCTGCTAGTCTAGCTATTCCTCCCCACCCACACTCTGTTAAATTACCTGCCGCCCCCAAAGTAGAGGTTTAGAGTAGAAAATTATAGCTAAACTGGCCTGCCGAAGTAAGACACTGTGTGTAAAAGTTGCAGCAATTACTTTTTAGTACAGCACGGCTGTCACACTGATGGTGACTGGAGACACAGTGAAGGAAGCAACTTATACAAGAAAGCATTTAACCGGGGGCTTGCTCACAGTCTCAGAGGTTTAGTGCATGGTCATCATGGCAGGAGGCATGCAGCATGCAGGCTGGCTGGAGCAGTAGCTGAGAGCTTACATGTTGAGACAAGGACCGCAAGGCAGAGAGTGAGCCAACTGGAATGGTGTGGGCTTCTAAAACCTTAAAGACCACTCGCAGAGACACACCTCCCTCAACAAGGCCACGCCTCCTAATCCTCGCCAAATAATTCCACCAACTGGTGGTACCAAGCCTTCAAATATACGAGCCTATGGGGGCCAATACGTATCTTGCCCTGAGTTCTTTCCTCCACCCAAAGTGTCATGCAGTGAGCAGGACACCCTGACCAATACTGGAAAGAAACTTTGGAACACCGGTGTCATAGCTGGGGATTGTGGTACACACGTGTGTAATCTCAGCACTAGGAAGGTGGAGAGGCAGGAGAATTGTGAGTTCCAGGCTAGCTGGGGCAACATAACAAGACCTTGTCTCAGAAACAAAACCAGCAGTGCACTGTAGACATGCATGTCTGCGGCTTGTTTCATTTTCCAAGAGACACAGGAGGTGTCAGGAAGGTGCCCACTCCAGCAGTCACAGGCTGTTCTCCAGGACAC